CCCAGGATGAGTGGTAGGGTGGCCTTTAAAAACGAGCAACTTTAGTAATTGCTGTCACAGACAGGTTCTCTTAAATCATTGCTATGTAAGTCTTCCATGGCTTCCTCTCTGTTGCATTGTCCTGACACGTTTGTATCCATCTCCTTCCTTCCCAGATACGATCTCCGGATTCGCTATCTGCCAGATAATTACATAGACAGCTTCAGACAAGACAAGACGACTTTGCTGTACTTCTACCAGCAGGTGAGAGCGGGGTGAGGGCGGCTCGTGGGCGGGAGGGAGCGAGGAAAGGGCAGCAATCATTATGGAGACACTAAATTTTAACTTTGTTTCCAGCCAATGGGAGACCTGGAATTCTTTTCTTCCTCTTAAAGGATGAACCATTCTCTGTTAATGAGCAGATCCTATGAGCTATTGTTGTATCAGATTGGGGCTCCGGAGACTATGGGGGGTTATTCACAAAGCTGCCAAAGGCACCCGAGTGAATAACCCGGTCGAAGTGAAGTGAGCCGAGCTACGTTCGGCTATTCACTTCTGGCTTGTACCAGCAATGGGAGACCTGGAATTCTTTACTTCCTCTTGATGAACCATTCTCTGTTGTCAATGAGCAGATCCTATGAGCTATTATTGTATCAGATTGGGGCTCCGGAGACTATGGGGGCTATTCACAAAGCTGCCGAAGGCACCCGAGTGAATAGCCCAGCCGAAGTGAAGTGAGCCGAGCTACGTTCGGCTATTCACTTCTGGCTTGTACCAGTGGAGTAACAATCACCATAGCGACCCCGGCGGCCGCAATGGGGCACAGGGGGGCCCGGCCAGGACATCCCCCTGATGCCAATGCGGGCCGCCTGGGTCGCTATGGCATTTCAGGCTGCTGGCTGTCACTGGCACTGAGTCGGTGACAACCAGCAGCTTCGGAGGAGGTGGCTGGGCCCGCCGGCAGCGATGGAGTAGGCAGGGCCCAGCGACCGAGGAGGCGGGTCTTAGCGATGGAGGAGGAGGCGGACAGAGGATCGGGGCAGACCGGTAAGAGGGCTTGACCGCCCACCTGCGACCCTGCAGAGCCCACCATAGAGAGTCTATGGTGGGCTCTGCAGGGTCACCCTCAGGTGGGCTGTTTGGGTTATCAGGTGGACTTAACTAGAAATCACAGGGCCCCATACAAAATTTTGCTATGGGGCCCTGTGATTTCTAGTTAAGCCCCTGGCTTGTACGGCTGATTTCAGCTGTACATTGGCTGCAATCAGCCGTACATCGGCTGCACTTCGGTCAGCCGAACATACGGGCCGAACGGCAGTGAGTGAATAGACGAATGCGCCGAGCGCCACCCGGCTTGGCTATTCTGCTCGCTACCTCCGTGGTACTGAGCAGAATAAAAAAAATCAATGAAAAGAGTCAGGGAGAAAAAAACAAAAAGGTTGAAAATGTTTCAAAAATTTAAATAAACAGTCAAATTTAAAAATAAAGATTTTTTTAAATAAGAAAAACAAACAAACAATTGGGCGGACCTAGCAGTGACAGCTAGCTCCGCCCAACTGTTTCCTATTGACTGGCACCTGCCCAGTTGGTATTGTTTAATGACAGATCAGCGTCCCCAGGTCATGTGGGGCCGCTGATCTGTCATTACAACTGGGCGGGGCCAGCCGTGAGATCATGGCTGGCTCCTCCCAGCTGTCATTTGCAGGGCCAAAGGCCGGCCTTCGACAGGCCGTTGGCCCCGCTTCAGCTCAGTCGAGCCGAAGCATATGCCTTCGGCTCGGCTGAGCTGCTCGGCCGCCTTCAGCTGCTGTACGGGTTATAGTGAAGCGAAGGGCTCCCGCAACCGAAGCTACGGCTGGATCCTTCGGCAGTTTTGTGAATTACACTCCTATATCTTTGGAACACCTCGGCCTCAGTCAAGCAAGTCCGATTCTTTTTTTTCCCTCAGAAATTGATTGCGTGATCGGCTCTGATTGCTGCTAAACATAAAGATCAAGTCCAAACTCCTCTACGAGAAGACAAAACTTATAACAATTGATCTAAATCTGTTACCAACTGATGTTTTGGGGGAATTCCAGTGCTTTGTTGGCAGATCACAGAGTTTGTAGGACATGTTGAAACCTATAGACAAAGCTCTATTAATAACTCCTTTAGGACCCAATTTGCATGGAGAATCTGCAGTAATGATGCAATGCTGACCCCTCCTGGGCAAGAGAGGAATTGTACATTAGAGGGACAACCCCACTGAAGACTGATATTTCTCAGGGATAATCACTTAGGCCCCGTTCACACCTTTCCGCGGCCGGTGTCTTTCCTCCCACACCGCTCGGCCGCCTATCACAGTGCAGCAGAGCAACGTACCAGGAGTAGCTGGAACACACAAAGGTGTACAGGAACTCTTTTTGGTGGACTGACCCTTAGAGATAACACAACCAGCATTGGATGTTTATGTTGTATGTACGTACAGGCTCAGTGCAGGAAGCCATTACAAGCACATCAGAGTTGAGTTAACTGACCTGACACACAAGCGAGATTAAATCTGATTGGTTGATTAGAAATGTGACATTTGTCGTGACTTCCATGTCTATAATGTGGTTTATCAGTGTCACCGTCTGTGTAATTGCAGCTGCGGAATGACTACATGCAGCAGTACGCCACCAAGGTCAGCGAGGGCATGGCTCTGCAGCTGGGGTGCCTGGAGCTCAGGTAAGGGGGCCAATAACATTCTGTCCACTGCAAACAGTTACACATGGGCAATGGGCCTTGCCCTATAGAAGGGGGTTGTGGTGCTACTGAAGTGTGAAGAAACGCCCAGTCACACCTAACTGATATAATATTCAGTCTACATGTCGCCAGGGGTGTATCTACCGCAAGGCAAACTAGGCATTTGCCTAGGGCGGCACTTTCCAGGGGGGCGGCAGAAAATGCCCTAAGAGTGGCTGCCTAATTAGAGAGCTGCCCGGTGGAGGGGAGGGCCCAGTGAGATGTGGTCCAGCTGGCTTTGTATAGGAGGTGGAGGTGAAACAGCGGGTGGCTGGGGGCTGCCCATAGCATGTGATCTGATGGTGGGATGTCCCAGAAGCAGGCTGGGGACTGCAATGTATTCTGCTGGTACTGATGACACTTCGAGCTGCAGGTAAGAGGAGCAGTACATATATGTAGGGAAAGGGACTATGCACAGTCCTCTAGAGACCCCACATGGCCACCATAAACCCTGCACAGCTCTCCTGAGACCCCATATAGCTCACCTCAACAGGATGGGGTGGGGCAAATTTAGATTGAGGGGGGTGCCCGAGTTTAGTCTTGCCTAGGGCAGCACAAAACCAAAATACACCACTGCATGTCGCTGAGCAAGCAGGAGGTTATCAGCCGGTGCTTCGTTTTCAAGGTTTATAATTGAGACATTTCGAGAGTTGTATGCTACAGATGGCAGCGGAGAAACTACAAATCATCAATTGTGATGGGACCATAGCAAAATTGTGATGGTGCACCCAATCTATATTGCATACCCAAGAATACTCCGGTTTACCATTGGTGGCCAACAGCTTATACTGCAGCCTTTACGTACCCCTTGACCATATTGCCCCTGCTATAAGCCCTTGCATCGTCAGTGGTTCATATACTACCCCTATTGTCCATCATTAACAATGGCGGCCACCAGATCTCCAAATCTGATGTATGCAACATAATACACTTAACTGGTTTGGGTGGGTGGATCGGTACCTAAAAATAGACCTTGCTTTTCAAAGCGGGCAATGAATACATCGGAATGAAGAGTTTAAAGTCACATCTCAGCTGGGCCCCCTCTGCCCTCAAGGCCCCAAAGCACCTGCATGGGCTGCTGTGGTTATAGTTTGTTATGAGATCAGGTTATGGTGATAAAATCTTCATCCTGTATACACCAACAGCATTCATTCACGGAGTATTAGTGACATATATCGGCCTTCCTAGTCATTGTTCAACATCTCGTCCTCCAGCTCTGATTTCAGGACTTTTCCAGTATAATGATCACACATATTACTGCCTGTGGATATTGGGATGGAACTGTGATTACGTTTTTATCTCCAACTGGGAGGCTTGAAGGCACGTTCATGTGAAGGATTCAGGAACGTGCCTGCCAGCTCCTTGGTTGGAGATAAAGACATGCTAATTGTGTGAAACAGAAGTCACTATTTATTTACATGGCCAGTGAATACAAATGTTATTCATTCGCCATGTTAGATTATGTCTGTGAAGGTTCCACTTTATCCATGTCTATGGTATAGCTAGTAGTAGTAAGATTTCACATTCAACTGGACTTGTTCTGTCCCGCACCTACCATCAATACCATGACCTGAATACATGAGAACCTTCATAGACATCTTGTCAATCATACCCTGAATCCAGCTGTAGAGGAAATACTGTACTTATTTCTGATGCTCCTCATCGCCATCTAGTGGCCATAATTCTGTATTACATAACATTTGACCTTAAAGGAGAACTATGGGGTCAGTGTTTTTCCCCATAGTTCTCCTTAGGGTAACGGGAGGACACAAACTAGCGTCCTCCCGTTACCCTAAGCTCAGTATACCGCGAGCTACAGCTCGCGGTATACTGAGACGCCGCAGCCGGAGCGGCTCCCGACTTAGACGTCGGGATCCGCCCAGCTGCGTGAGTGACAGCTGGCTCTGCCTATCAAGAGGCAGAGCCAGCTGTACCCGCCCCCTCCCCCGTCCATTCCGCCAGTCAGCGCTGGCAGATCGGAGCGGGGAGAGGGGAATCCAGCCCCTCCCCCTGTCACGGCAGAGAGCCGTGACAGGATCGAGAGGTAAGCGAACCCGGTATGTGTTCGCTCACCTCCCGATCTACTGAGCCGGCCTGTGACAGTCTCATTGTCATAGGTCGGCTAGAACTATGATACTGAGGATGCTCCTTCTTGTATAGGAAATACATTTTTCTTGAGTGCCTCAGCTCCATCTAGTGGCCATAATTCTGTATTACACAATATTACATTTGACCTGAAAAGTAAATATACTAAGTACGTTCCTTTTTGTATAGGAAATACTTATTTCCTATGCTCCTCAGCTCCATCTAGTAGCATACTAGTGGCTCCGGACAATGGCCGCTGCAGGGCCCTGATCGGAGCAGTGCAGCTTTTCCGCCGAAAGTGCCCCCCCCCTCCCTTTCATCCTGCTCATCCCTGAACTACAAGGCATGCCTGCCAGCAGGTCCATTGGGGTGCCATTGAGAATCACTGACAATACAAAGCACCTGCGTAAATGTGCGTTATTCGCAGTGTGGGCTAAACGCACAGATCCTGGCATGACGCCGATGTGCGAATTGCCCCAAAAGGCTTTACCCCTGTCACTGTACATTGCTGCGATGATATTCCTGTAGTTGTCCTTTAAATCTTAATGATACTTTGTAACATTTTATATCACTGAACACTTCCTGTTTGCCTTCCAGACGATTCTACAAAGACATGCCGCAGAACGCTTTGGAGAAAAGATCCAACTTTGACTTCCTGGAGTAAGTAAACACAGCGACGAGATGACAAGACGGCGGCACGACCTCTTATGATTAAGATTCGGAGGAGAGAGATAATCGTCTCTGTGTATTGTTAGTGCGGAACGCTGCATTGTGTGCTTTGTTCCAGCGGCGCCCACGCATTTTCTGTGACAGTGACACACGTCAAGTCTTCCTTCTCTTCTACCTGACAAACAGCGTCGGTGCTGCCTGACCTCATCTTAGACTACCGGCAACTCGTCATTTGCAGTGAAGCTGATTCGCATATCTCCCAACATTCTGAGATGACAAAAGATCTCAGAATGTTGTATAACAAATTAGTGAAAGGACACCCCCCTGCCACGCCCCCTTCAGTTGTGCAGACCGCCATGAATTGATACGCAAAAAATGATGGTTACAGCTGAACTCCGTCCTTCCGTTCAGTCTTCTATCTGACCTCCGTCCTTCCATTCAGTCTTCTATCTGACCTCCGTCCTTCCATTCAGTCTTATATCTGATCACAACATGCATTAGAAGCTGCAGCAAGTCAGATAAATCAAATGTTGCTATATAAGAGGATAATGTACAGGGTATATCTAATGAATTTGCTTTTGTTTCCAGGAAAGAAGTTGGCCTCGATCTCTTCTTCCCAAAGCAGATGCAGGAAAGTCTAAAGGTAATTAAACTCTCATTGCATAAGATTAGGAGAATGCTAAGGGGTCCAAAGTGCTAGTGGCCACCAACCACATTCATCAGACCCCTATGGGGGGTGAACGGTGATACATCCAGACACAAATAACATTTTACAGCAATTAGTGGTTTTTCTTGTCCATTGAGGGGCACAGGAAGTCTTTAACTTTCGGGTTATACTGCCGCCTGCAGGAGGGTTGGACCAGGATAAGCTCCTCCTACTACCAGTAAAACTTTCCTATAAGAAGTTAGGCAGTACCAACACTGCTTTGTGGGAAGCATGCAGGGGCCCGACCTAAGCTAGAGATGCTTATATAGTTTTTGGTAGGTCAGGTTTACTTCAACTGTATTCATTCAGGAAGATTCAATAACTGTGTCTTTGTTTTGTGAACAGCCCAAGCAGTTCCGTAAGATGATCCAGCAGACGTTCCAGCAGTACGGCTCTCTGAAAGAGGAGGAATGCATCATGAGGTTCCTGGGCACGCTCTCCAGCTTCACGTCCATCGACCAGGAGACCTACCGCTGCGAGCTGGCGGTGAGTTCCTCCATCACCCAACCAGACCCAACCAGACCTAACTAGACTCAACCAGACCCAACCAGGCGCAAGTAAACCCAACTAGACGCAACTAGACCCAGCCAGGTCCAACTAGACCCAACCAGACCCACCTAGACCCAACCAGACCCAACTAGATTCAACTAGACTCAACGAGACCCAACTAAACTCAACCAGACCCAACCAGGCCCAACTAGACTCAACCATACCCAACTAGGTCCACCAGGCCCAACCAGACCCAACTAGATTCAACTAGACCCAAACTGACCCAACTAGGCTCAACCAGACCCAGCCAGGCCCAACTAGACTCAACTAGATCCAACCAGGGAACTGGTTAAGTGCGATATATGGAGGCAGCTCATGAAAATGGTAGCTGCTTGGCTGTCGGTCTAATCCTCTGGCTTCCACATTTTCTGAATCACTGGTCCAGAGTAAGGTCTGACTCGAGGTGATGCCTTTGTTCATGATCAGTATCTCAGAAGGCATCAGAGACAAAGGACCAGTATAACAGCCTGCAGGTTATTATAGGTTACAATTGAACATTCTCTTCTGGTTTAATGTTTTTTTCATATAAATTGCGTCATGATTTTTATATTTATATGTGGGCTGAGCATTCCCTCCAGTTTGCATGAATCTTGTTATGATTTGTATTTCTATATGTTGGCTTATATAAAGTTAGCACACACACACATAGGCTGGACTAGATGGACCCGTGTCTTTTTACAACCTTAACTACTATGAGGTGTATTTATAGATATAAATGTTTTTATTATTTTCATCACAAAAACAACGGTCGACAGTACATAACATCTCAGTATGCGGTGCGCAGACCGTAGTATTGACAGTAGGGTGAGCAGTGGTATTAGTTAGATACAAGTCGCATTTCCTATAGAAGGCGATTACTGGTTCCGGGACTATCACCCTGTCCGGGTGGTGAATGTGGTATACAGCAATCCAAGGGAAAAAGCATAACATACATATCCAAATTTGTAACAGCATTCGTTGTTACGACATATTGGATAGTTGGGATTGCGTAGGAGCGGAGTGATTAGTAAGTTATTCTACCCTAAGGAGTGTAAGGTAGGAGGTACCCGGGGTGCGCTTCAAGTACCCTTATGATTTCCATTGCTGTGGAATATCAAAGGGTGACGGTAACTAGACTGCTTCAAGGTTAGTCTGTAACCGGCCTGTGAAAGTATCAGACCACGGCACCACTGAACACAGACAGGACAACATAAAGTGGGGAGGGCACACAGAGAGAGAGGTGGGGGGTCATCAGGCAATAGAGGAGTCAGGCGTTAGAGAGGAGGGGGAAGAGGAGGGAAAAAGGAGGTTCGGGCAGTACATTGGCGCTAGTGGACTGTGTACTAGGCAGGTGTGGTAGGTTAGGTTATATTATGCCTAGGCGGTGAGAGGTGCCTGGTGCCAGGTATTTGTCTATCCACGGGGGTCCAGGTATTCTCAAATTTGGTCATCTTATCACTAAGTTGCGCAGTTCGCTTTTCGTGAGCCATAACCCAATGAACATGATTGACTACACTGGTGTATGAGGTGTATTTATAAGAAATTCGCAGAGCCATTCGTCCTGCAAATCTCAACAAATAGAGGCAAAGACGAAGGTTATTAGTATATTTGCTTCCCAATGTTCAGTAATATCAAAGGTAATATGAGTAAAATACCCCATTATGGCCACTAGATGGAGTTGAGGAGCATACAAAGTAAATACTCCCTTGCAATGCTCTTCAGCTCCATCTAGTGGCCATAATGTGGCATTTTGCTGTTATTACATTTGACCTGGAAAGAGAATATACTAGGAACATTCACTTGGCCCCCATTGGCACAGAACACATTTGCATGCCGTTTGGCAGGATGAACGGCTTTGCACATTATTAAAATCGGTAACTAAATCAGTATTGGAATTCATATGAGGGGCTGGAGGAAAAGGTGATTATGGTGAGATTTCTTCCTTAATTATTTATTATTTTTCTTTCACCAGCAAGGGTGGAGCATCACCGTGGACCTGGTCATCGGCCCAAAGGGCATTCGACAGCTCACTACAAAGGACTCAAAGGTGACCCAAATTCTTCCATTGTATGTATAATGAGATATGTGAGCAGAAGGTACATCATGCATTCATTCAAGTGAAAGGTTCAAAGGTGTTGTATGATGGAAGGAGCAGAGTCCTCCAGCAGAGTATCTTAGGAGAGGAGAGTAGATAGAGGAAGGAGCAGAGTCCTCCAGCAGGGCAGAGTACCATAGGAGAAGAGTGTAGATGGAGGAAGGAGCAGAGTCCTCCAGCAGGGCAGAGTATTTCAGGAGAGGAGAGTTATAGAAGAAGGAGCAGAGTCCTCCAGCAGAGCAGAGTATTTCAGGAGAGGAGAGTTATAGAGGAAGGAGCAGAGTCCTCCAGCAGTGCAGAGTTTTTCAGGAGAGGAGAGTTATGGAGGAAGGAGCAGAGTCCTCCAGCAGTGCAGAGTTTTTCAGGAGAGGAGAGTTATAGAGGAAGGAGCAGAGTCCTCCAGCAGAGCAGAGTATTTCAGGAGAGGAGAGTTATAGAGGAGGGAGCAGAGTCCTCCAGCAGAGCAGAGTATCTCAGGAGAGGAGAGTTATAGAGGAAGGAGCAGAGTCCTCCAGCAGAGCAGAGTATATCAGGAGAGGAGAGTTATAGAGGAAGGAGCAGAGTCCTCCAGCAGGGCAGAGTATTTCAGGAGAGGAGAGTTATGGAGAAAGGAGCAGAGTCCTCCAGCAGTGCAGAGTATTTCAGGAGAGGAGAGTTATGGAGGAAGGAGCAGAGTCCTCCAGCAGAGCAGAGTATCTCAGGAGAGGAGATAGAGGAAGGTCAGAGTCCTCCAGCAGAGCAGAGTATCTCAGCAGAGGAGAGTGGATAGAGGAAGGAGCAGAGTCCTCCAGCAGCAGGGATGGTCCTTCATTGATAGCCATTCCATGGTGACATCTCTTTAAGACCTGTTTATGTTTTTTGATTTATCACAACTAAAAAAATCACAAGACTTCAGACTTTAACTTAATGGACAGAGACAGTGTGCAGAGACAGTGTGCAGAGACAGTGTGCAGAGACAGTGTGCAGAGACAGTGTGCAGAGACAGTGTGCAGAGATGAATACCTATAAAGCTGCTGTGTACCTCGGTCTAGTCGGCTTTGTTTGCAGTACCTCTGGATACACACGGTGCCCAGAATGTATTTCTCAGTCACGTCTCAGTCAATGACGGTATCCTCTTTGCCTCCACAGCCCACGTTCCTGGCCGAGTTCAAACAGATCAAATCTATCAAGTGTTCCCTGCTGGACGATAATCGGGCACTTCTGCTGCTGGGGATATCTGGAGCCCCCCAGGTAATCTCTTCTGATGTTAGATGGACAACCAAAATGGTGGAAGGTCCACCGGGGATAAAACATATCGGGAGAGACCGCAGGAACCTCATATGTAGAGTCCGGAGGAAAGAAGGGAGAAGAAAGAAGGGACACGGCTGAAACCTTTAAGTACATTAAGGGCCCATTTACATCTTTCTGGTGCATTAACAAGCGTGTTAGCACAGGCATGTTACATGCACTAGCGTGTTTTGGTGCCATTCACAGCAGTTCAAGTTTCTAATGGAAGAGAGGTTCCCTGACCCCTGCCCCCAATCTTTTTGTTCCCCATTTCTAGTCCTATTTCTGCATTTTCTCTGATCCCTTCTCAGCCTTACCCTCTTCTTGAAACCTCACTCCCCCTTGCCCTTTCCACACCCTTCCCAGTTACCCTTCCCACACCCCTCCTAGTTACCCTTCCCACACCCCTCCCAGTTACCCTTCCCACACCCCTCCCGGTTACCATTCCCCACCTCACCCCACTGTTATACACTCATGCACTGGGATTTGCAACTCTTCAGAAAAAACACATCCAGGTTACTTAAGAATTTAAAGTCTATTAAAATTCTGTGAGCAAAGTTCCTTTTCTTTAGAAAGCAGCCACAGCCTGACTAAAAATACCTGTCCCCTGCCAGCATGCTGCAGAGCAGGACCCTTGCTCCCCTGTGTGGAAGCGGTGGTCTCCCTGTAGAAGTCCAACACACCCTCCTGCAGAGCAAAAGCTAGCATTTTCCATTCAGCAAAGCTCACACTTCATGCAGAGGAGTGTGTTTGGCCTCTGCAGAGAGACCGCTGCTTACACACAGAAAGCAAGGGTCTTGTATGGTTTAGGTGATCTCTTTATATGTATGTGGTGAACAGATACCGCAGAATGCTAACACGAATCTTACATTGTTGTATTTGTAAAGCCACTAGCCATAAAGACCTCTTCGCTAGCCATGGCTGAAAACATGGCCGACCTCATAGACGGATACTGCCGACTCCAGAATGGGTCTACAGAGTCACTTATTGTCTATCCTGGATCAGGTAAGTGCACCTG